TTTCCCACTTGTATTTTTTTTTTACTGTTGTAATTATTATTTAATCATAATCCACAACTATAACATTGGTGATATCATCCAACAGACCAGAGATTTAGTTTACTGTCTGTTTTCACATGGCTACAATTCTTTCCAACTTTGAGCATTACTTTAGCATTAGGGAGCAGAGACTCCCCAGGACAGAAGAAGAGTCATTTAACCAGTTGTATGTCTCTATGTATTACTCCCAACTAAATGTGAGATCAGGGCTTCTGCATGCGCTAGGTTAAGCTGTGAATATGCACAGGCTAGAGAATATGATTTATGTTATATTCTCAGAGACGTGGCTATGAGCTGAATCTTCATAACAAAACAAAGTCCTTCCACAAGCATTTCTTACCTAACACTGAACTTTTATCAAAGAATTTTTTTTCCAACTAGCTGTTTCAAATAAATGCTAACCATACAGTGTCTCTTCTCTCCCTTCAGGATATACAAACCACAGAATTCCAATGACTCACCCCAAAATAGCTTATGAATATGCCAAGGGCGGAAGGGCATGCTGTTTGGTTCTTTAAAACTTCCTGCCAAACTGAAGAAACTGAACATACACAGATATTTGGGGACTAACTATGAGTAATAATGAGAATTTAATCCCTTTCAGTCTTCTGGATTAGCAACAGCTTGCCTAACATGTCCGGCAACATCCTGTTTGCTACATGTGACTTCTCAAAAAAATAATAATATAATATTAATAGCACAGTGTTTCATTGTTAAGACTGCTGTTATCTATGTCAGTGGTTCCCAAACATTTGCAACCATTTGTAGATTAAGGTCATATATTGGAAGAACTGTCACTAACGGCTTTATAGAACAAACGTGTTATCAGTTTAACTTTGAAATTTAAAACAAATAAAGGATTCAATGTATAGAATTTTAAGTCTGCATAAACCCTTAAAACGGATTTGAATCTCAGATATGCCACCTGTAGCAGTTACTTGAACCCTCCAAGTTCTAATTTCCCTATATGTAAAGTGAGTATGATAATAATGCTATTGTTAGACGTGTATGTAAACAAAGAGTACTGCTAAGTGAATAAAAGTTATCTAGTACTAACAAGGAGTCTGAAGACCACAACCATTAACTGACTTAAGAAGGGTCACACACTCATCAGTCAAGTGGCAGGACAGAGCATTTTATAAAGCTGTGGTTAGACACAGTCTCCGGAGCCAGTCAGCCCAAGTTCAAGCCCCAGTTTTCCCATCTGCTAGCTGCATCACCTTCAGCAGATCACTTTTCTGTGCTTCAATGTTCTTATCTATAATATTAAGATAATAATAGTTCTTTTATCACAGGGTTGTTGTAACAGCTTAAAAAGAATACAGGTAGCAGTGCCTGGCACATAATAATTAATCAACAAATACTACCACCCCCAAATTGGAAAGCTCTGGTTCTTCAAAAAAAAAAAATTTTTTTAACTAAAATAAATGTCAACAATGACAGACTTTTTTTAAACAGTGACAGTTTTTAAAAACTTGATCCAGAAAAGCAACCCAAACTTTAAACACACACACACACACACACACACACACACACACACACACACTTAAGATAGTTTATAAAGTGATTAGAATATTTGCAGATGTCTTTACAGGTCAAGGTACTTGTGTTCTGCAGCCATGTTGATGTGTCATCCTTCCCTTTTCCTGTAGAGGAAGGATACAAAACAAAAATATTATACACAACAACCCCAATTACTAAAGAGTCACCTTGATTAGAGTTTGAGAAGAATGCCATCATCCAGCTGCACTGGACATTCATGGAAGAAGCTTAGTGCAATGGGAGGAGCATCAGACTCCCCTTTCAGTCCAGGCTCTGCCGCTTGACCCGCTATAGTAAGTTGCTCAGACTCTGAGTTGCCATCTGTAAAATGGGAACAGTAAACAGAGACCACCTGATTATAAATACTATAAATTCTCTTGATGCAAATTAGCACTAACTCCTCCGCCACAGTTCAATTCACTTCAGTCGCTCAGTCGTGTCCGACTCTTTGCGACCCCATGAACCGCAGCACGCCAATAACTGCTTACCACATGTTTGTTTATATAATAAATGAGATGCAAATTAAAGATTTTAGGATTTATTGTGTCCAGTCCCTAACTGACACCACTATATCCCTACTCCCACCCAAATAGTACCTAATTTGAAAATCACAGATCTAGGCCCCACCGTTGATGGCCTCCAAGAGTTAAATGACTATAGTTGCTAGCTCCTTAATAAAAAGTTTAAAATGATGACAGTGGTATAGATAAAGAACTTCTTCCCAACTCATCATTTGTTTTTCAAATAATAGACATTGGTATTGTCTTAAAAGATTTGTGAGTGATTTTAACCCCAATTTGAAACCAAGTGGTCAAACGACCTTAGAAACCATACTCCCTACCCTCAATAGACATCATTTCCAAAAACAAGAGAAAAAAATATCCACATGGCCTTTGTACTCCATTTGTCTCTTGAAGCACCATAAGAAATAAATGGGAATGTTTTGTGATTCGGGAATAGGTTGTGGGTTTGGACAGGTGTGGGCTCTTACAGCTCCTCACACCTTCAAGGAGAAAACTTGCTGAACAGAACTCTGCTTAAAAACTTTAGGGATCCCCACTGCGCAGACTACTTACTCTGATCAGGTCACAAACAAAGATCAGATGGAGACCGCCCTTCAGGGTTGCACATGTTTGCTGGCACAGCATTCTCACTGCGTCAGAGCCTCACCTGACACTTAGTCATTATTGGATGAAAAGGCAAGGCCTAATAGTGTTGGTCATGTGTAACTTGCCAGGTCCAGCCAAGTATCCCAGGCCCTTTCAGAAATAGTCCACCAATTTGCTTCCCCACTCTACCCTGAAGTATTTCTATGCCCGTAGCCATCACAGACTCCTAAAATCTCTTGTCAGTATGAGCTTTCTCCTGTCTCTTCTGACAGTTCTCTTTCTCCATTACAGCCAGCTTCTGTATCAGACCTAATGCAGACACTGGGAGACTCTTCTCTGTGGGCTTTCAATAAATATTTATTCAACTCTATTTTGTCATACTCAGAGATAATAGGAAGCAAGGATTACCATATTTCCTAAATGCATCTTAAAACTCATTGCCTAGGGTCAGGATGATAGCGGGTTGTTTCCTTACAGAAAAACCAATTTTCTCAAATGCACTGCCTTCATCAGCCTCAATGCAGATACTGTATATTATTCAAGGTTTATAAAAAAAATCAACATCTGCCATAACAGCTTAAGGTTCCAAGGCAGAAAATCTGAATCAGTAGCAAAATTCTCCCCAAGTAATACATGGTTCTTAAACATCAAATAAAGAGTCAAACCTGTCATGAAATATGTATTGGACAAAAACTGCATAGAACCAGCTCTTGTTTCTAGATATTTCAAACAGTATGTCCTCCCATTTTCCATGGTGGATTTCCTGTCATTACTTTGTACACACTCTGTGCTTGCAAAGTGCTGGGAGCATAGATACATATCTGGAGGCTTTTTTTTACAGAAATAAAAAAGAATTAATACGGGCTTGCAAGAGAAGCAAGAAAGGAAGTGAAAACGGAAGCAAAAAAAAAAAAAAAAAAACCCAAACCTGTGACTAATCAGCAATCTGTTCCATGAATATAAACACTTTGGTATCGTTTTTTTGTGTATTAACATCTTAAATCTAAAACAAGCCTATGAAGCTCAATTCTGTGTCCAGCCTGGACAAAGCTAAACTCTTATCTGTCCTCTGCACCTGTAACCGTTTTGACTTATACATAGTTTGCCCTTTTACTTTGCTTCAGGGTCAATTAAGCAGCAGAAGGAATGCCTGGGATCACGTTGCTGTTGTGACTAATCTCTACAAAGAATAGTGCAGTAGATGAAAGGGAAACCACCTCCAGAGTCCTTAAAACCAGGAGCAGAGAGCCCTCCAGCCCAGGGTGGAGAGTCACAATGCAGAGATGTTGTGATGTGACTTGCTGGGAAAAGAAAAGAAAATAAAGCAAAGGTAAAAACACTTAAAAGGATTAGAGCAATACTTGGTACAAGAAAAGAAAATAATTGGCCAGTTTCTGAGCATTTTTGCCATTTGAAGACAGATAGTACAATATCTTAGTATAAAGTTTAAAATGCACTGTCCCAAATCAATCTCCTCATTAGAAAGTTACATAGCCTCAAAAGTCATCATTATAAATTTTATATGCTTAATCACTCAGTTATGTACTATTCTTTGAGACCCTTTGGACTGTAGCCCTTCTCCAAGGGATCTTTCCAACCCAGGGATTGAACCTATAGCTCCTTCCATAATGGACCTAACATTCTAATATAATGCTATGTCAAGGCACAGGATAAAATCCAGGGCAGCAAAAAGGAAAAAACATGAATTTTGGTGGCCTGGCAGATACAGTTTTTAATCTCAGTTCTGCCACTGACTTGCTGTATTAATGTAGAAGATTAGCCTGCTCATGCTGCTTCTCTTTTCTACATTTATAACAAAGGAAGACATAAGAGTTATCTCATCGTATTATCGTAAAGATTAAAGAAGATTAAAGCCTGGATTTTTGGCAGTACCAGACCTGACAATACAGTGTTCTAGGTGTCAGTGTCCAAAGAAATCCTCTCTGTATAGAATATGTCAAAGACACAGACACAGTCACACATGTGCACCTGCACATAGGCTTATAATTTTTTTTTAACTAGTGCATTTCTGCATTAGGTGGTGCTAGTGGTAAAGAACCTGACTGCCAATGCAGCAGACTCAAGAGATGTGGGTTCAATCCCTGGGTCAGGAAGATCCCCTGGAGAAGGAAATGGCAACCCACTCCAGTATTCTTGCCTGGGAAATCCCACAAACAGAGGAACCTGGCAGCTACAGTCCTTGGGGTTGCAAAGAGTGGGACACGACTGAGCTCACACACACAACGCATCTCTGAGTATGCAAAAAAGCCAGGGAAATCCTCAGAGGCCAGAAACAATAAGAAAACACATATGCAAAGAGGGACGCAGGTGCTTGAGACAGCATTTGTTTGTGGGCATCTTCTTCTCTGATCCACGATCAGAGAGCAGGCAAGGTGGGGGCAAAAACCTAAATCCAGGATTCTCAAAATCACCTTCAGAGAGGTGTTAAGATATTTCCTCTTACCTTTAAATCTGAGTGATAAAATATGTATCTACCCAGAAGCTTACTAGCCATAATCCTGCACTCACAAAGGTTCACAATATTGTTTGAAGCTTAAAACTAAAAATAAAACTGAATATTTAATTTATGAGATTTCTGGATTGGTGATACCTCTCCTTGATCCTCCCCATCCACTCACACCTGACAGAAGTAAATAAAAATTCTTTCTAGAGGAAAGAACTTTAAATTCAGGCCTCAAAACATTCCCACAAATAAGATAGCAAGACATATGGTGTTTGCACACAGTAAAACCAGGCACTACAAATAAAAGTCAGTAGAAATATTAAATTTTAATTTAACAAGTAGTCAAAATATGAATGTGTGATAAACACTTTAAAGAAATAAATAAGTACAAAAATATACAAAAGGAAATGAGACTTTAATTACCAGGCAGATTTTTGAAAAATAAAATTCCTAGAAATGAAAAATATAATCATTTAAAAATTAGAAATGCATTCGGGGACATGAACAGACAATACATGGGGACATGTTTAGCTTTAAGCTTGAATCATTGATCTATATTTTTTTAGAATTATTCTTTTCAACAGCTTTATTAAGATATAATCAATATACAAAGAACTGCACATGTTTAATGTTGTACAGTTTGAGGAGTCTGGAGATGGGCAACACCCATGACATCACCACAATGAAGGGAATAGATACATCCAACATCTCCTAAAATTTTCTTGTATGCTTTTTTACTCTTCTTTTTCCTTTTTTTGTGATAAGAACTCTTAACATGAGCTCTACCCTCTTAAATAATTTTGAAGGGCATAATACTGTATTGTTAGCTACAGTGACTATGTTATGGGGCTTCCCAGGTAGGGCTGTGGTAAAGAATCCAGCTGCCACTGCGGGAGACATAAGAGAAAACTGGTTCCATCCCTGGGTGAGGAAGATACCCTGGAGAAGGGAGTGGAAACCCACTCCCATATCTTGCCTGGAAAATCCCATGGACAGAGGAACCTGATGGGCTGCAGTCCAAGGAGTCGTAAAGAGTCGGACATGACTGAGCACACACACTCTATGTTGTGCAGCAGAGTTTTATTTTTTTTTTTCCATTTATTTTTATTAGTTGGAGGCTAATTACTTTACAATATTGTAGTGGTTTTTGCCATACATTGACATGAATCAGCCATGGATTTACATGTGTTCCCCATCCTGATCCCACCCCCCACCTCCCTCCCCACCCCATCCCTCTGGGTCTTCGCAGTGCACCAGCCCTGAGCACTTGTCTCATGCATCCAACCTGGGCTGGTGATCTGTTTCACCCTTGATAGTATACTTGTTTCACTGCTGTTCTCTCTGAACATCCCACCCTCGCCTTCTCCCACAGAGGCTAAAAGTCTGTTCTGTACATCTGTGTCTCTTTTTCTGTTTACAGCAGAGTTTTAGAATTTACATATCTTTCTTAACTGAAACTTGCTGCACATTGAACAGTAACTGCCCGTTTTCCCCATCCCAGCCCCTGTCCCTGGAAACCACTATTGTATTTTCTGTTTCTATGCATTTGTCTTTTAGATTCCTCATGTAAGTGGAATCCTGTAGTATTTGTCTTTCTGTGACTAGCTAATTTCAGTCAGCATAATTCCTCCAGATTAATCCATGTTATCATAGATGGCAGGATTTCTCCCTCTTTTTTATGACTGAGTAATATTTTAAGTATATAAAATATGTATATTTATCTATAAAAATATATATTTATGTATGTATATCCATTCATCTGTTGATATACATATTGTTTATTTCTATATATTGACTATTTTAAATAATACTGCAGTGAATGTGGAAGTGTGATCCATACTTTTTTCATTGAGAAATGAAATATAATGATTTTTTAGAGCAAGGGTTCTTTTTCAACTTATTTATTTTTAATTGGAGGATAACTGCTTTATAATACTGTGTTGGTTTCTGCCATACATCAACATGAATTAGCCATAGGTATTTTAATACATATGTTCCCTCCATCTTGAGCCTCTCTCTCACCTCCCACCCAAAACCACCCCTCTAGGTTGGCTGGATGGCATCACCGACTCGATGGACATGAGTTTGAGTAAACTCCGGGAGATGGTGATGGACAGGGAGGCCTGGTGTGCTGCGATTCACGGGGTCGCAAAGAGTCAGACATGACTGAGCAACTGAACTGAACTGAGCTGAACTGAGGTTGTCACAGAGCACCAAGTTTGAGCTCCCTGTGTCACACAGCAGATTCCCACTGGCTATCTGTTTCACATATGGTAACATATATGTTTCAGTGCTATTCTCTCAATTCATCCCACCCTCTCCTTCCCCTATTGTGTCCACAAGTCTGTTTTCTATGTCTGCGTCTCCATTGCTGCCCTGCAAAATGCTCATCAGTACCATCTTTCTAGATTCCATTATATGCATTGATATACAATATTTGTTTTTCTTTTTCTGACTTGCTTCACTCTGTATAATGGACTTATAGCAAGGGTTCTTAATGGGGGTCATAACTCAAAGAATTCAGGGAGTCTGCAAACTTGAATTAGAAAGAATTTACATATTTATTTTCATTAATTATGATTTAGCATGGCTTTCAGAGTGTAAACAACAAACCATAGTATCGATAGTAATAACTTTGACTTTTTATCAATATAAATCTCAGATACTTTTATATCACACAATCACTATTCATATATCACAAAATATTATCTATTTTCATCTCACAGAATCACATTATTCATTGTGATAGGCCTATATATTTCCCTGTTTCTTAATGTATTCATTTTAAAATATGTATAGTCAGTTCAGTTCAGCTCAGTTGCTCAGTCGTGTCCGACTCTTTGCAACCCCATGAATCGCAGCACGCCAGGCCTCCCTGTCCATTACCAACTCCCGGAGTTTACTCAAACTCATGTCCATCGAGTCAGTGATGCCATCCAGCCATCTCATCCTCTGTTGTCCCTTTCTCCTCCTGCCCCCAATCCCTCCCAGCATCAGGGTCTTTTCCAATGAGTCAACTCTTCCCATGAGGTGGCCAAAGTATTGGAGTTTCAGCTTCAGCATCAGTCCATCCAATGAACACTCAGGACTGATCTCCTTTAGGATGGACTGGTTGGATCTCCTTGCAGTCCAAGGGACTCTCAAGAGTCTTCTCCAACACCACAGTTCAAAAGCATCAATTCTTTGGCGCTCAGCTTTCTTCACAGTCCAAATCTCATATCCGTACATGACCACTGGAAAAACCATAGCCTTGACTAGACAGACCTTTGTTGGTGAAGTAATGTCTCTGCTTTTTAATATGCTATCTAGGTTGATCATAACTTTCCTTCCAAGGAGTATATTACTATGTCATAATTTTTATATTTTTGATAATTATATTTTAATATAATTGGATTCTATTGTATATTATCCTACCTGTTTTTAAAAATCACTATTTAGAGAAGTCCCTGGGCTGCATGTGACAGACAAAGGTGTCAGTGGCATAAGCAAGGTTAGAATAACACCACAAAAACAAACTCAGGAAAAAAAATTTTATGACCATCTACAAATTTAAATTAAAGTGAATTCCCTTTGTATTTTTTAACTCTAAAATTGCCCCTTAAATATAGTCCTTGGACAAATTTTACTAAGTATATTTTTGTTTGGGCTTTCAAGTTTTAATATAAATGTTTGTCACAGTTTTAATAGTGAAAGAGGAAAGGAGTGAAGAAAGAAGAAGTGAAAGATTTGTTTTGCAATTTATCAAGCTATTTGCACTTACCTCCTATCTTACTAAAAAAGAAAAAAGAATATTTGAATATCCCTACTTTCTTTTAGTTGTTTTCAAGTCACTCATCTAAGAATTTATACCAGAAATAAAGCAAATTTTCAACCTCTTGAGGAAGTAAGTCATTAGCATATACTATCTGACATTTAAAATATTAGTTTTCAGAGGTTTCAACATAAGAGTCTGAGTTTGGGTATCTTATAATTTGACAAGGTTGCTTTATCTCATTCCATCTTAGGTTCTTCATAAAATATAAAGTTCAAATATTTTTTCTTCACTCTGATATTTTACCCACCTCAGCTCCCTCTCTGGGCCTTTTCTATGGCATTCTGTTGTAGTCATTGGAGTTCTTCATGTTTGTGTCTCAGGTTCATTAAACACCCCAACCAGAACTTTAAAAGAAGCTATGAACAGCAGCACTTGTTCTAACTGGAAGATCATCCTGAGTTGTCCCCTCACCCCCACTGTTTACTCTTGAAAGGTTTGGGCCTCCTTTCATCTCCAGTTCTCAGGTTCTGGCATAATAACCCAGCCCTGACATCAGCATCTAACCCTCTGGATCCCAGGCCATCACCAAAATACTTATGCTTTGCCATTCTGACTCTGCAGCTCTGCTCACTCTGCTAATCCTGTCTGGGAAGAGCCTTCAAATTCCCAGAGCACAGGGCTTTGGGCTTCTCTGCCTCTTTTCCTTTAATCCAACCAGATCTTGAAGGATCTATGCCATTAGCCACAGTTGAAACAAGGCTGTTAAATGACCCCCTGTATAATATCATTGATCCTCTCCTGAAACTCAAATAAATTAACCTCTTGTTACACTTTCAAAGGTATTTTAGCAAAATGACATATCCAGTAAAACAGGAAAGTGACCTTTTCTGAAAATTTTCTTGGAGGAGAGAGAAATAAAGTGAATTACACCTCACAGCTCCAGCTTCCTCATAGCTCAGTTGGCAAAGAATCCTCCTGCAATGCAGGAGACCCGGGTTCGATTCCTGGGTTGGGCAGATCACCTGGAGAAGGAAATGGCAACCCACTCGACTATTCTTGCCTGGAGAATCTCATGAACAGAGGAGCCTGGCAGGCTATAGTCCATCGGGTCGCAAAGAGTCAGGCATGACTTAGTGACTAAACCACGCCCCCACCACCACCACCACACCTCACAACCCGGAGAAAAACTCCCAAAAAATGTTTTCAATACATCTCTGTCTACCATGTCTGTACACCATACAGCAGTAGCCCTGTCTCTCTCCTTTTCTCTCTCTCTCCCTATTTCTCTCTAAATCTCTGGCTCATTGCTACTCTCTAAAGTCCATGAAGCTGTAAGAAAGATATCTGTGAACTCATGTGAAGTAATATCCCGAAGATATTGTAAAGTGACTGACAATATAAAGCATAAAAGAATATATAGTATGCTACTTTTGTGTAACAAAAGACAAGGATGTAAGAAATGGTACATATGCCTGCATACTTCACAAAAAGAAACAGAAAGGAGAAACCTAAAAATAATGAAGTTGGTTACCTACAAGGGGTGAGGGAAACAGAGTAGAAGGGATATGCAAGGCAGTGACATTTCCCAGTGAATTTCTGTTTTTCTTAGTTTTGACTTGAAATTACATTAATATTCTACATACTCAAAGAATGAACATATATATTTTTAAAAGGATAAGGAGAAAAAAAACAAAAGAAGTGAACTCAATATTATTTCAAAAGAAAAACATAACATTGTAAGGATGAGATGGCAAGGAAATAACTTTTAGTTATGATCACAGTATTTGGCATATTAGTATTTGACACTTGACATGATCACAGTCTTGGGCAAACTATAACGCAAAGGGTAGAAGACAGTAGACACATTTTGAACTCTTTAAAAAAAAAAAATTATTGGAGTATAGTTCCTGGCTTTCAGAGTAACAGAAATGTCAATATGCTTACAGACACAGTATACTGTCTACACCTTTGTCACCAAAGAAACTATTTAGGAAATTAACTTGTAAATTGAGTAATCTTAATGTGAAAGACATATCTATCTTTTTTTTCAAGAGACTTTTCCTAGATTCAGTTCAGTTCAGTTCAGTTGCTCAGTCATGTCTGACTCTTTGCAACCCCATGAATCACAGCATGCTAGGCCTCCCTGTCCATCACCAATTCCCGGAGTTTACTCAAACTCATGTCCATCGAGTCAGTGATGCCATCCAGCCATCTCATCCTCTGTTGTCCCTTTCTCCTCCTGCCCCCAATCCCTCCCAGCATCAGGGTCTTTTCCAATGAGTCAACTCTTCCCATGAGGTGGCCAAAGTATTGGAGTTTCAGCTTCAGCATCAGTCCTTCCAATGAACACCCAGGACTGATCTTTAGGATGGACTGGCTGAATCTCCTTGCAGTCCAAGGGACTCTCAAGAGTCTTCTCCAATACCACAGTTCAAAAATATCAATTCTTTGGCGCTCAGCTTTCTTCACAGTCCAAATCTCATATCCATACATGACCACTGGAAAAACCATAGCCTTGACTAGATGGACCTTTGTGGGCAAAGTAATGTCTCTGCTTTTTAATATGCTATCTAGGTTGGACATAACTTTGCTTCCAAGGAGTAAGTGTCTTTTAATTTCATGGCTGCAATCACCATCTGCAGTGATTTTGGAGCCCCCAAAAAATAAAGTCTGCCACTGCTTCCACTGTTTCCCCATCTATTTCCCGTGAAGTGATGGGACCAGATGCCATGATCTTAGTTTTCTGAATGTTGAGCTTTAAACCAACTTTTTCATTCTCTTCTTTCAATTTCATCAAGAGGCTTTTTAGTTCCTCTTCATTTTCTGCCATAAGGGTGGTGTCATCTGCATATCTGAGGTTATTGACATTTCTCCCGGCAATCTTGATTCCAGCTTGTGCTTCTTCCAGCCCAGCATTTCTCATGATGTACTCTGCATAGAAGTTAAATAAGCAGAGTGACAATATACAGCCTTGATGTACTCCTTTTCCTATTTGGAACCAGTCCGTTGTTCCATGTCCAGTTCTAACTGTTGCTTCCTGACCTGCATATAGGTTTCTCAAGAGGCAAGTCAGGTGGTCTGGTATTCCCATCTCTTTCAGAATTTTCCACAGTTTATTGTGATCCACACAGTCGAAGGTTTTGGCATAGTCAATAAAGCAGAAATAGATGTTTTTCTAGAACTTTCTTGCTTTTTTCGATGTTCCAGCGAATGTTGGCAATTTGATCTCTGGTTCCTCTGCCTTTTCTAAAACCAGCTTGAACATCTGGAAGTTCATGGTTCACTTATTGCTGAAGCCTGTCTTGGAGAATTTTGAGCATTACTTTACTAGCGTGTGAGATGAGTGCAATTGTTGTGGTAGTTTGAGCATTCTTTGTGATTGCCTTTCTTTGGGATTGGAATGAAAACTGACCTTTTCCAGTCCTGTGGCCACTGCTGAGTTTTCCAAATTTGCTGGTTAGGTAGAAGTTATTCAAGAAGGTCTCAGATTTGTGGGTTAAATCAAAAGTTTGTCACTAATGCTTTTCCTGACCTCCTTGACAATACTAAGTGAACACTTCTTTTAGTCCAAGAAAGTTGACCCTATAAGAAGATTTCAGTTGTACACCTTTTGTTCACCCCAGGCAACCTCCTATTTTGCATCCTACCTCACTTGATTTAACTTTTTGGCACCAAACTTTTTCTTTGTCAAAGTTTTCTGTGTCAAAAATAGTTAGCGGCCTTAGTAGACCAATACATTTTGAAGAGTGGCTTCTTATATAAATAAGTATAAGATCTTAGCCTGATTTTCTTGTAATGAAATCCTTGTAAAGAGGTATGGCCATGGGTTCCTTCCTGGGACCTAGGTTCAGATGCTATCAGCAGCCAGCCTCGTGAAACACACACACACCCATTCCCCAACCCCCACCCCCACCCCTAACCCATCAACAAATGACTCATCCTGCTTCCTACTGGTAAGGTCAATGAAGAATGGAGTGGCCAAAGCCCCAACAGTGAGAAAAAAATCTGAAAGTGGGAGCCAAGGCACCATCCTAGGCTGTTAAACCTATATTCATTTGAGGATCTGACTATAATCAAGTTGACTATAATCAGCTTGCCAACAGTTCAGCAAGCATGGATGTCCTGAGAATTCAAAACAGGAAAGAGACTTGGATGTCATTCAGGTCCTAGCTCATTCTTCAGAGATCAAAAGTAAGGTTGCTCAAATGAATTGCTCAAGACAAAACAGTGGCACACCTAGGTCTAAAAGCCTTTGGTCTAGGTCTAAAACCCTTTGGTTTAGATTCTAAAATTTTCTCTGAAGCAGAAGTTGTGTGGTGATGATTTTTGACATGAGCTGCTTTCAACAGCTAGTGGATATAAGGCACACAAGTTATTAAATTTATATGAAGAAACTATTGAAGTAAAATTCTCAACTTATGAAAATCATTACAGATGAAAAACCAAAGTGTTGTAAAGAAAATGAAGAAAATTTAAAGTATAGCATGTTAGCTGTGGGAAAAAAACAGTGGACGGTTATCTGCCTCAAAGATTTTACAAGGGGTTTTTTGCTGTTGGGTTTTTTGAGGCTAGTTTTTGGGGGAAGGGGAGAAGTGTTCTATTGTTATATTTTGGTTTAGATTGTTTTTAAACCGCGGCCCCAGAAGCACCTTTTCATTCCTAGGAACACAACCACATTTTGAAAACGCCCATCTATTTCAGTCTGCTTGTTTTGCTAAAAGGAAACTGAAGACCAGACACCAGGGCTGCTCGGTAAGAAGCAAAGACGCTTACTTAATGAAGTAACGAAGCAAAAAGACTTTGTCAATCCATTCTTACGACGCTGCAGAGGGCAGCGGGGGAGGGGCGAGAATGGGGAAGAAGTCGGGGAAAGGGTCTATCTCCGAGCCTTGCGAGCGGTGCCCGGCTCTCCGCGGGGCGTTCAGCCCCGGACCGAGGCCGGCGAGCCTGCAGAGCTTAGCGAAGTCAGGCAGCCGCCGAGCGTCAGAGCGACGCTGCGCGACTCCGCGGCCTCCAGGAGACTGGGCGGTGCCCGCAAGGCCCGATCCGCCCAGCGGCTCGGAGCCGAGGAGCGCAGCAAGGTGCGGGTTCATGCTTGGAGCAAGCGGCAGTATTCGTCACTCAGGGCAACACCGCAGGAGGTTGCAAAAATGGAAGCTCTAGTCCCTATGAGGATGGAGTTTATAGTGGAGTTAGGATGTGTGTGTCCCCGGAAGCAAATTCTTAGGAGAAGGTTGTTGAGATGTCCCAGAACTGGCTGGCATATATGGAAATCCTGCTGGACTGACAAGGTATAATGCAATCATCAAAGGTGTTTTGTAAAAAAATGTCTGTAGGTTACTAGGGGTTTGAGAGATAACAACTCAGCTGCATCACAGTTGTTTCAGAAGAATGATGAATTCAAATGCCTTGAACCCATATATTAATCCTGATCCTAGGGACCATGAGAAACTGATGTTCTGACTAGGAAAGTGACTGCATTACTTAAGTTATAGGAAAGAATCATCAACTGGGGGATTTGTTAAAGAACCCTTCGGGTCCAGTGCGCTTTTTTCCAAAAGTTAAATATTTAAACCAGTCAAAACAGACATTCATTTATCTTAGAGTTAATACTTTCCCAGATATATTAATGACTCATTAATTGTTTATTTCATACAACAAATTTTATTGACTTCCACGGTGAAAGCAGTGTAAAAGATACAAAGGAAGACTACAAAAGGGTCCTTTAACAGTCTGCTAGGGAAAAAATATGTAGACAGCCCATTCACTTGTAAATCAGTACACCATTATGAGCCACAGTGGACATAAAAGCTTAGTTTAAAAAAATCAGTAAGGAAAGGAAAAGTTACTTTTTATATGATATGGAAATGAAATGATTGGAAGAAGTCCTGTCAGCGTCTTCCATTACACCATACTCCTAAAATTAATTCAGAAGAAATAACAAATTAAGTGTTTTTAAAAAATCATTATTTCAACATGAAGCAAATTTAAATATATATTATCTTAGGATGGGGAGGACTTTCTGAGTAAAACTTCTAAAGAAATAACAATAAAAAATACTGATAGGTTTTACTGTAAGAATCTAAAACTTCATTGGAAAAAACAAATGAAATTAGAAGAAAATACTTAACAACATAAGGTACACAAGAAGTTTGTGTCTTTACTATAGAAAAAGTTTTTACAAATCAGTAAGATAAGCCCTGAAATAGAAAGTTGGTTCAGAATCATGCCAGGCAAAGAATTAAAATTATAGATAGAAACATTTGAAAAGAATTTTTTAAAAAATTGAAAGATAATTTATTCTCACAAAAAGCTAAAGGAAAGATGCAATATTTCATACACCATCTTATTAAAAGTTACATGTTATATTTTATACTAATGAAGTTGAATTAAAATAAGTACTCAGTTTCTAGAAATTAAATTGGAAAACAATTTCTGGGGGATAACTGGGGAATAGATTTTAAAAATCTTACAAGCATTCACACTCTTGAACACCATAATTCTATTATAGGAAATCAAATTAAACAAATTTCACACAAATTAAAAAGCAAAACCTATAAATTGACTTTATAAAATAATATGCAATTAAAAGTAAACATTTTACAACTTAATCTCAAAGATAATAATTATTTTTCCTGTAATAGATCACATCTCTCATTATCACCACCATCATTATTATTATCAAAATATTATTAGTAGACATGTTTCTTCAAATAAGTCTATTATAATTTCCAAAAACTTCTCACATTTTTGCCTAATTATAATAAGTGAAATATGTTTTTTAAAAATATGTGAAATAAGCAAATCTGAATATGGGTTGAAAGTTAAAATTGTTAATTTTATGAATTGGGATAATGACATGGTTGGTACATAAAACATACTCTTTCAACTAGCAATGCATAATAAAGTGTGTATGAGTGAAATGAAACAATGTCTGAAATTTGCTTAAATACTAGCCCCTCCCTCAAAAAAAGTAAGGGTTTAAATGAAACAAGATAAGAAAAATATTAATAATTCTTGAAGCTGGATAATAGGTTCATGGGAATTTATTATTCTCTTCTTTTCTGTATGCCTTAGATTTTTCACAATAAAAAGTTTTTTTAAATGTCAGTGGAATAGTTTTAGCAGCTACCAATAAAGATATATTACAGAGACAAAAACACTGTCCTAGAGAAATCATACAGAATGACACCTTCTACGCAGTAGAATTTTTTTCTCAGTACTCTATTTTAACAAGTACATCTTGTTAAAATGTAAAACATCTCTGGCTTTTGAGTTATCTCCCTTCATTTGGACCTCTCACACATTATTCTCCTTTTTAATAACAGTTCATGTCACTGCATGCGTGCTAGAAGTGGGTCAAGAACCACAGTGGAAATCATTTTTTAAATCTCAGTATATCTTAATGCTGCTTATCATATTTTTATATTTTTACATATAGTGTTGGCTCATAGCGATCGTGGAGAAGGCAATGGCAACCCACTCCAGTACTCTTGCCTGGAAAATCCCATGGACAGAGGAGCCTGGTAGGCTGCAGTCCATGGGGTCGCTAAGAGTCGGACACAACTGAGCGACTTCACTTTCACTTTTCACTTTCATGCATTGGAGAAGGAAATGGCAACCCACTCGAGTGTTCTTGCCTGGAGAATCCCAGGGATGGGTGAGCCTGGTGGGCTGCCGTCTGTGGGGTCGCATAGAGTCGGACACGACTGAAGCGACTTAGCAGCAGCAGCAGCATAGAGATAGCAAGGGAATTTCAGAAAACAATCTACTTGTGCTTCACTGACTACGCTAAAGCCTTTGACTGTGTGGATCACAGCAAGCTATGAAAAATTCTTAAACAGATAGGAATACCAGACCACGTTACCTGCTTCCTGAGAAACCTGTATGCAGGTAAAGAAGCAACAGTTAGAATTAGACGTGGAACAACAGACTGGTTCAAAATTGGGAAAGGAGTACTTCAAGGCTGTATATTATCACTTTATTTAACACCTATGCAGAGTAGTCATGTGAAATGCCAGGCTGGATGAATCACAAACTGAAATTAAAATTTCCAAGAGAAATATCAACAACCTCAGATATGTAGATGATACCACTCTAATGGCAGAAAGTAAAAAGGAACTAAAGAGCCTCTTTATGAGGGTGAAAGAGGAGAGGGGAAAACCTAGTTTAAAACTCAACACATATATATGGAATTTAGAAAGATGGTAACGATAACCCTATATGCAAAACAGAAAAAGAGACACAGATGTATAGAACAGACTTTTGGACTCTGTGGGAGAAGGTGAGGGTGGGATGTTTCAAGAGAACAGCATCGAAACATGTATATTATCTAGGGTGAAACAGATCACCAGCCCAGGTTGGATGCATGAGACAAGTGCTTGGGCCTGGTGCACTGGGAAGACCCAGAGGGATCGGGTGGGGAGGGAGGTGGGAGGGGGGATCGGGATGGGGAATACATGTAAATCCATGGCTAATTCATGTCAAAGTATGACAAAAACCACTACGATATTGTAAAGTAATTAGCCTCCAACTAGTAAAAATAAAGGGAAAAAAAAAACTCAACATTCAGAAAATGAAGATCATGGCATCTGGAATAGAAGGGGAAAGTGGAAGCAGTGACAGCTTTTATTTTCTTGGGCTCCAAAATCACTGCAGATGGTAACGACAGCTATGAATTTAAAAGACACTTACTCCTTGGAAAAAAAGCTATGACAAAGCTAGACAGTATTCTCTAAAGCAGAGACATCACTTTGCTGACAAAGTCAAAGCTATGGTTTTTCCAGTAGTCATGTGCAGATGTGAGAGCTGGACCGTAAAGAAGGCTGAGTTCTAAAATTGTGGTGCTAGAGAAGACTCTTGAGAGTCCCTTGACTGCAAAGAGATTCAACTAGTCAATCCTAAAGGAAATCAAATCAAAATATTCATTGGAAGGACTGATGATGAAGCTAACACTCCAATACTTGGGCCACCTGATGTGAAGAGTGACTCCCTGGAAAAGACCCTGATGCTGGGGAAGACTGAAGGTAAAAGGAGAAGGGGATGGCAGAGGATGAGATGGTTAGATAGCATCACCAACTCAAAAAACATGAATTTGAGCAGACTCTGGGAGATAGTGAAGGACAGGGAAGGCTGGCATGTTGCAATCCTGGCGTGCTGCTGTGACCATGGGGTCACAAAGAGTCGGACACAACTTAGCAACTGAACAACAACAAGTATAAATGTATGTACATATCTTATATTTTAAATATATAACATTTATGAAAAGTATATTTTATATAAGTATATTGTATATTTATTAAATTGTTATAGATTTTTTAAAGCTATATGTTTTTAAATAAGTCGTATTCCCATCAGTTACAAATAGAAGTAAAGATTCATTCACACAACCGTGGTCAATGTTGGTATGCAAATAACTGCTCCTACCATGCTATATCCTGTAACATTTCTCATTGCCAGAGGTGAGGACAAAGTTTGAGAGACCATTAAGATAGAATGGAATGATATTTCTCCTGTGTTATTTCAATTTTGGTCTTCTACCACAGATTTGGGATATAAGGCAGATAGAAATATATCATTATAAAAGATGAAAAATCTTGCTCAAGAAAATCTCTCATCACTTCCAAAGTGGTATGAGATTTCTGCTTATGTATGGCAAGCCTCGTCTTTGTTAGTAGAGGGCCCTGTCCTGGAGTCTCTCTTAAACTAGTTAGTCTGTTTTAGTGCATGATCTGCAAATACAATGGAATTTGAGACCATCAAGCTTGTTTGATTCTTCCACATCCTTATGATCCTTACTCAGCTCTGAACTCTTGACTGTATGACCCAGCCTTGCCTATACCTCCATAAAGTGAAAGTGAAGTCAGTCAGTTGTGTCCAACTCTTTGGGACCCTGTGGACTGTAGCCCACCAGGCTTTTCCATCCATGGGATTCTCCAGGCAAGAATACTAGAGTGGGTTGCCATTTCCTTCTGCAGGGGATCTTCCTGACCCAGGGATCGAACCCAGGTCTCCCGCATTGCGGGTGGACGCTTTAACCTCTGAGCCACTGGGGAATCTCCCTGTTCCTCCATAGATCTTGACATTTGTAAGCTCCCTCCCTACTGTTTGTTCCTTCGACTTCTCTCAACACACCTTGTTTTATCATGCTTTCAGTTGTTCCCCTCTGCCTTTGCCTTGCTGTAATAAATTGTACACCACCACTCCTAGTTTTTCTAGCCTCTCTACTTTCAGGCCACTCTCCCAGCCACTCTGACCCCAACCCAGTAGAGAGGAACATGGGTATCTGATGCTCCCA